GGATTTCCTGGGCCTGATCTCTATTCTTCATAACAACACTGCAAGACAGGTTCTGTGACTCTCGTCATTCACATCAGGAAACTGAGGCTCGGCGGGGTTAAATGTCTCCCCTGTGGTTATCAAGTGGTGGAGCTGAAATCAGAACCCAAGCCCGTTTGGCTTCAAAGCTGCTGTTCTTTCCACTACATGTAGGAGGGAATCACCGGAGCCTAAGGCCATCAAATTCACTCTTTCCAAGTTAGAGGTGAAATAGCTTTGCCTTTTTTGGTGGCAGTGATTGTTCAGGAGAACAATGCCCTCCCAGGACCACAGCTGAGCCTTTGCCCCAGTGGCTGGACAAGCTTCTCAAGGGAACTTGAGCAAGTGCTCATGGGGCTGCTAAACATCACCCTTTGGGCTGCTTGTTGCCTTGGAAACAGAGACAGCTGCCTCTGCTATGCTGCTCTCTGCCTGGAATTCTTTCTTTCTCTTTAGACTTGGAAGCACTGCCCATCCTTCAGCGTCTGGCCAGTGACCCTGCTCACTCCCTAGCTCACCCAACTTCCCCTGTTCTCAACTCCTGTCATGCTTATCACTTGCACACTACATATCACTTTGGCCACAGGCCAACTTGGGGGTGGATCTGACTCTGCTACCTACTAGCTGGGTGGCCTGGGTAGGTTTTATAACCTCTCTGGGCCCTTATTTTCTCCTCTATGAATTAGGATTAAAGTACCTACCTCACAGAGTTATCGTGAGAGGTGAATAAGTGAATTAACATATTTCTTGTACTTAGCACTGTGCGTGGTATGTAGTAGGCATTTAGTAAGTGTGTGTCTTTCAAGCTTCTGTTTTCCTTTTAGTTTGTATTTTTTAACTATATATTTTGTGCCTTCCCAACAAGATCGAGAGCTCCTTGGGGGCAAGGGCCAGGATTCATTTCAATCTGCGAATGCATAGCACAATTTTGGGCCAATGCAAAGTAGCCCGTATTTGCTGGCCCAGAAGCACACACCACCTCGGACACTATATGAGATATAGAACACATGCTCACAGAAGAGAATTTCAGGTAGAGAACACATGCTCACAGAAGAGAATTTCAGGCAGCTGTCTCTGTGTCAAAGGTGATGTTTAGCAGTCCTGCGAGCCACTTGGGGCTTCTGTTATAGATCTCATTTAGGCTACTGAATTGCATCAAAACGATTGGGTAGATCACCTCTGAGTCCATACTCCCATTAATTCATTCATTCATCCACTGCTGACTGACTGCCTCCCAAATGCATCCCCCTGAAGATTCTGTTTCTACGTAGTTTCTTTAGTAGAGGGAGAGCTGCAGGCTGGTGATGGAAAGGACCAGGGTGTGCAGGGGAATGTGGAAAGAGCAATGGAATGCTGAGGATGTGGATCTGCAGACCTCAAACCTCCCTATGCAACAGAAGCAGCGTGGATACAGACTCTCAGCTCCCATTCCTCAGAAATTCTGATTTAATTGCTCTGGGATGATATTGAAACAACAAACAAACAAACTCCCTAGGCGATGGTTCTGATGCACAGCCAGGGATAACATCCACTGAAGCAGATGATACACAAGTGCTCCAGGAAAGTTCCTTCCAGGGTGCTGGTACCTGGTGAGGTCTGGGGAGGTGCCTTGTGCTGGGCTGGAGCCAGGAGCAGAGCCCTGGGCTGGAGGAGGGAGGAAGCACCTGGGCAGAGGATGGCCAAACATGGGCTCACTTTCACCTCTTACCTTCCTAGTCCCCAAAAGGAGCCAAGGAGAGTATCAAGGCTGGGATCTCCAGGGGAGAGGGGCCGAGGATTCCAGGAGCACACGGGAAGGCAGAGCTATGCATAGCTCCCACTACCGCTGTATTTAGAAATCACAGATTGATGATGACCTCACAGATGTGGTCATTATGTGAACATGCTTTGAACTTGCAAGGTACACAAGCCCATTTGCTCCTCTTCCTACTGCAAGTCTGGGTAGGTCAAGGCTGATGAAGCGTTTCCAAAAGAGCAGTTGATCTTAAGCACTGGTGGTTTCTAAGATCTGGGAGAATGGTTTCCTGATGTGTTTCAGGCTGGTTTCACAATCATGGTTCCTGACACTTACCCGCTCTGCAGGAGAATGTCGTTATAGATACTGCAAGGAACCTACACTCATCCTCCATACACCACACTGCCGAGAATCCTGATGACCTAGTCCTTCCATATGACGTCTGAGTGCTTGACTCTCCTCTTCCTCTCTTCTAACTTCACGGACAGGAAAACAGAGTCAGAGGAGACCGGGAAATTGCTCATCCCACAGGGTTAGGACTGGGCATGAGATCATATTTCCCAGCTTTTTCTAAGATACAGCCAGCTCACACAAGTTGGCGAGTTTTAGCACGGAATGTTCAGGACTTATCATTCTTACAGACAAAGAACTTGAGAATGACATCAGATCATCTTCTCTTTCTCTCTGCCTCTGTTTGTCTCCGTCTCTCTTAGCCGATGATCTGTCCTTGACTCCGGGAATTTGGAACAGTTGTGAACTTGCAGGGGATTTATGATTAAGGGAGCCCTCCTGAAGACACATGGACTTGAATGTGGAATAGTGCCTTTTGCTTTTAACTGGATGAATGTGGATGTTTTCATCCAAAGTGAGCTGGAGGGCTAGGTAAGGAAAGTGTGTCCTCAGGTCTCCCCCCCAATGTAGTAGCAACCTCAGAAGCTGAACTGAACAGATGGGAACTGAACTGTTCTCATCGGTCAGGACCATGACATATGGGTTGCCACATACTTTGAGATGACTTCTCTCTCAAAGTGGTGGCATTCTCCTTTCAGGTGGTGAACCCCTCTCTATTTCCATTGACTTGTAATTTTGTTGTCACCAAATACGTCTATCGAGAGAATATGGTTGATTTAATGAAGAATTGTCCTGGGGAGGCTGGAAGAAGATGGGGACAGTGGGCAGTAGTGGCTGGTGGCCTGTACAAAAGGACCAGATGGAACCATTTAGGGACATTATAATTCTTGGCAACGTGACAAAAAGCCAACATTGGGAAATGGTGGAAGGATATGGAGTCAACTTGAGTCCCTCTACTACCTGAATCCCTCCCTGGGTGTCACATACTAAGGGAGGTTCACGAACTATTCAGTTACTACGTCTCATCCCCTTGATTAACTGCCTTCGTGTGGAACCAGCCAATACAGCGCACTAAGTTGGGGTCTGAAAACAATGAAGTTGCCTCCTATATGCTTGATTCATGCCAGGAACAATCGCTATCGCCAGGTTGAATCGGTCTGCCCAGTGGCCACCAAAGCCCAGGGGAAAAAACTCCAGTAGAGAGCTGAGCATGATTTCCCCACAGCAGATGTATCTGGTCTTAAATATCTGTTCCTGTAACCTAAATTGCAAAGCAGTTTCCAAAAAGCATCGAGTTGCAGAATTTAAAAAATGTATTTGATTGCCAGGTTTGCCAATTAGGTCAGCTTTCCAGGGCCTTGTACTTTCCTCTTTTCCACTGGGGAAGAGGAAAAGGAGGCGGCTGGCAGCTGGTGATTGAAACACAATTCTCCCTGGCACGTAGGTCTTGGCGCTCATTTCTGTGTTATCCTGGTCGAGGTCCCCTGGCACTCTGCGGTGCCTGGCCAAGGGCTGCCCTTCCTAGGCTGCCCTCTGGGTCCCACCAGCAATCAGGGCGGAAACCGTGCAGACTGCACCCCTGGAGCTCTTCATGGCTTTTAATTGCCTTTTGAGTCTCAGAAAATCTGTCTATGAGAGTATTAGGAGAGGTATCATGTCCCCATTTCACAGGTGGGGAAACTTGGACTCAGATAAGTGACTTATTCAAGAAAACACAGTTGTAGTAATCCTGGATCCTAACCCCTGACTGTCTCTTCGTCTAGTCCTCTCTTCAAAACATGTGGGCATCGAAAAGTCAGTAAGGAAAGGAGTTTCAGCAGGGAATTCTCCTGGTCCCCAGACCCACGAGGGTTGAGATTTTTCCATCTGATACTCTATTTTTTTCAAATGCTACAGTGAGTAGTCTGTTCACCAAAAAACTTTATTTTCTTCACCATTCTTATAAAAAGATAGCTGTCGCCCTGGCCGGTTTTGTTCAGCGGTTAGAGCGTCCGCCTGCGGTCCAGAGAGACCCGGGTTCGGTTCCCGCTAAGGGCATGTACCTCGGTTGCAGTTTGTCCCCGGCCCTGGTTGGGTTGTGCGGGTGGCAGCCACTCGATGTATCCCTTTCACATCGATGTTTCCCTCTCTCTCCCTTCCTCTCTCTCCCTCCCACTCTATCTGTACAAAAAAAATGGAAAAAAAAAAAAAAAAATGTCCTCGGGTGAGGATAAAAAAAAAAAAAAGATAGCTGTCAAAAATCAATACATAGGATGGGACATATTATGATATTGGTATTCTACATTACATACTATAACATAAGATTATAAAATACAATGTATTATTTTATTACTTAAGTCTAGGATTTTCCATACTTAAGAGTCATAGGCCATTAGTATAGGTCATGCAGTCAATTTAATAGGTTGTTACAAGAATTAAAAGAAAAATGAGTTAAGATAGGATAGACTAAAATTGAAAATATCAGAGTTGTGTGTAGCAAAGGTTAAGTATCTATCTCGGAATTCTTTTGTCCATATGCTATGTATACTGGGTCCAAATGTTAAAAGTATTTCTTACTGAATAGTCTTTCTCTTTGTCTTGCTTTCCTTCTCTTTACTCAGTCTCTCTTCTTGTTCCTTCTCTCTCTCCTTCTTCATAAATGTAGGAAATGTACCCCAAAGTCTGCCACCTTTGTCCTATTTCCAGGTACCATCCACATCCTCCCGAACCCTTATCCTTCCCTCACCCGAGGGTCCAGAGCAGATACTGTTTCTCTAGACTTGATACCTTTACGCTCCTTCCTTTCTCTGTTGAAAAGGTCCGTTCGTAGCGTGACCTTCAAGATCGGATTTGCGAGTTCTCTCCACGTTTTACAAATCACTTGCTCTGTCGCTAAACCATCACATTTCCATTTCAGGCAAAGCAGCTCAAACTGGAAGAAATGAAATATCCAAGGAGAACCACGCTGTGCTTCGTGATCCTTGTGATTTATTCTTCCCAAGTTACAGCGACCTTGGATTTGGAGGCTATTGTTCATCCTCTGGTGAGTAAATCTATGTTGGCTGTATTTTCCCTTGTCACATTTTTCTGATTCCCTGAGACTGTCCCAGACAGACATTGTTAAGAAAAATTTTTTTAGGGCCTTTGAGAAAGTGTTGTAAATGGGGGTATGGAGGGACAGACCTAACCAGATAGTAGTGTATCTACTGGGTTGCAACTTGTCTGGCTCTGAACTCAAGGGAACATCCCCTAGGCTTCCCCCTTAACTAAGCTGCCGCCTGTAGGCTGATGCTCCGCTCTGTGAAACTGACAAGGACCGTGAGCAGATTTTGAGGACTGAGAAGGACAAGTGTTCTCAAAGGATCCATTTAACTTCAGCGTCAAACTAGAACATATTTCAAAGGTGTTCATTGTGTGTGTGATAATCACAGATTGATATAGCTGAAGGGGCCGTAGATACCGTCTCAGCTTTGTGCTGACAAATCATCCAGGTCGTTTTGTCTTTGGAAGTTAATGGGAACTTACCTTAAGTGAAGAGGTGATAAATTCTCTCTTTTTTTTTTTTTTTTTTTTTAATTTTTTTATTTTTTTATTTTTATTTTTTATTTATTTATTTTTTTTCCCACATCTTTATTGTTGGATGTAAAATGTATTATAGATGTTCCACAGTTTTCCCCCATTGACCCCCTCCTCCCCACTCCCACCCCCCTCCCACCTTTTCCCATACTATTGTCCGTGTCCATTGGTTATGCATATAAGTTCTTTGGTTTATTTCTTCCCACCCCCCCAACCCCTTTCCCTTTGAGGTTTGTCAGTCTAGCAATGAATTTGTGCTTCTTAATCCCTTCACCTTTTTCATCCATTCCCCCAACCCCTTTCCCAACTGGCAACCAACAAAATATTCTCTGTATCTATGAGAATGTTCCTGTTCTTCCTGTTCATTTTGTTTGTAGATTCCATTGTTGATAGATATGTATTCATTGCCATTTTGTTTGTTCCTACATTTTATCTTTTTCTTTAAAAAGACCCTTCATCATTTCATATAATAACGGTTTGGTAGTGATGAACTCCTTTAACTTTTTCTTGTCTGGGAAAGTTTTTATATGTCCATCGATTCTAAATGACAGCTTTGCAGGATAGAGTAATTTTGGTTGTAGGTTCTTGGTTTTCATCACTCTGAATATTTCTTGCCACTCCCTTCTGGCCTGCAAAGTTTCTTTTGAGAAATCAGCTGACAGCCTAATGGGAACTCCCTTGTAGGTAACTAGCTGCCTTTCTCTTGCTGCTTTTAGGATTCTCTCTTTGTCTTGAACCTTTGCATTTTGATGATGATGTGTCTTGGTGTGGGCCTCTTGGGGTTCATCTTGTTTGGGACTCTCTGTGCTTCCTGGACTTGTATGTCTGTTTCCTTCACCAAGTTAGGAAAGTTTTCTGCCATTATTGTTTCAAACAGGTTTTCGATTTCTTGTTCTCTCTCTTCTCCTTCCGGCACCCCCAAGATGCGAATGTTGGCACGCTTGAAGTTGTCCCAGAGGCTCCTTACACTATCCTCATTTTTTTGGATTCTTTTTTCTTTTTGCTGTTCTGCTTGGGCGTTTTTTGCTTCCTTATATTCCAAATCGATGGTTTGCTCCTTGGATTTACGTACTCTATTATTGAAGCTATGTAAATTATTCTTTATTTCAGTTAAAGCCTCCTTCGTTTCTAACTGTGCAGCGATCGTTTCTGACTGGTACTTTTTTATGCTCTTGAGGCCCTCACTGAGTTCATTGAGCATCCTTATAAGCAGTATTTTGAACTCAGCATCTGTTAGGTTGCTTATCTCCATTTCGCTTAGTTCTTTTCTTGGGGTTTTGTTCTGTTCTGTCATTTGGGACCTGCTTCTTTGTCTCCTCATTTTGCTGCCTCCCTGTGTTTGTTTCTGTGTATTACTTAATGAGAGGTATGGGGCTCGCTGAGACCCGATGCTGCTCGTTTGAAAGAATTTAGGAAAAACCTGAAGCAGGATCCAAGACAGGTCAATCCTATGGTTAAGCAAGTAGCAACAGCTTGGGTGGGCCTGAAAGTTGGGTGGGGCGGGGCCTCAGGGAGTCAGCAGGGCGGGGCTACCAGTGTGAGCCAGGTTCCTGGAGTCCCAGATACGGCGACTGTCTGCCGCCCCAGGGAAGGGCTCACCAAAGGAACAAAGGCCTCTGACAGCACGTTTGTCCCCGAGAAAGCCCCCTCTCCAGCCCTCGCTCCAGTGCCAAACAGCTCAGTTCCTCCCTGTATTTCTCTGGTGCCCCTGGAGCTGCCTCCCCTCCGAGCTTAGAGGGAGAGAGTCCGACCAGTCTGTGCGTGGGCCCTTTAGGGAGCTGCCTGGGGCTCCAGCCAGGTCAGCTTCCCTGAGCCTCAGTTTCTGCTGGTTTTTCCAGCCAGAAGTTATGGGGACTTCTCTTCCTGGCACTGGAAACCTGAGCGGGGCACCTGGTGTGGGACGGGGACCCCTCAGTCCTCAGGAAGGACCTTCCCAGCCTCGGGAGCCTCCTGATTTTTATCCGCCACACTTGGGTGTGGGACCAGCCCGTCGCGCCGCCGCCGTGCCGCTGCCGCCACCCCTCGCGCCGCCGCCCCTCCTACCAGTCTGGATGTATCTGCCTTTTTTTTTTAATTCCGTAGTTGTAGGACTTCCATTCAGCTTGATTTCAGGCGGTTTTGGATGATGGTTGTTCTGTAGTTTTGTTGTAACTTGGATGTGGTTGTGGGAGAACGCGATACTGCGTTTCCCTACGTCGCCATCTTGACCGGAAGTCCTCTCTTATTTTTGTATATTATTGTGTTATTCCTTCCCTAGCCTACTCCATCTACCAGAGACAGTATGTTAGAGGTTATGAAATCTTGGGAGACTAATGTAATTCTCTCTGTGCCTCAGTTTCTTCCTCTGTAAAAAAAAAAAATGCTAATAATAGTACTGACTTCCTATGATTGCCGTGGGAATGAAATTAGTTCATATTTATAAGCCGCTTAGAACAGGGCCTGGAACATATTAAATGCTGTAGCACTGTTTGCTATTATTATTTCTTCTACTGTCATTTTTTTTCTGCTGATTAAAATAATTTTTTTTTCTTTATTGATTTGAGAGAGAGAGGAAGTGAGAGGGAGAGAGAGATGGACACATCAATGAGAGAGAACATCGATTGGCTGCCTCCTGCATGCCCCTCACTAGAGATTGGACCCACAACCTGGGCATGTGCCCTGTCCGAAAGTCCGAGACCTCTTGGTGCATGGATCGATGCTCAACCACTGAGCCACACCAACCAGCTGGGCTTTTCTGCTGATTTTTAAAAAGAGATTTCAGTGCTACTTTATTTAGTCTATCACCATTGTTATGGCTTCATTGGTTGATTTTAGCATTGGAAATGCCTCTTTTTTGCTGCGCTTGGCATCTTTTATTTTTAATTTGTCTTCTATTCCAATTGTCAATGCTGGTTTTGTATTTGTGTTCGCTTGATCGTTGTCCTTTGCTTTTTGTTTAGCCTTTAATATGTCATTTTGCTTTAATAGTTCCTTTAGAAACAACATGTGTTTAAGGCCTTTTTTTTTTCTTTTAAATCAAATCTGAGTAATCCGACTTTGATTGTGGAGTATCATTTATTCATACATGAATGCCATATTTAAACATGCTTGATCCTACGTTCAGGATTCTGTTTTCTGACTTTATGCACTTCCTTCCTGTTTTCTCTTTTCATGTCTTTTATTGTTTCATCTAGGTTTTCTTTGTCTTCTTTAAAAAATCTCTCGTGCCTGGGGTGGTATACTTTGTGTGTCTCTTCTTCCAAACCCCAGCGTGCAGAGTATCACCCGGGCAGCCACTGCAGCAGCGGGCTCCTGCGTGGAGGAGGAACTGCGTACATTTCTGTGGATTCACGGTGGTGCAGAGCCCGAGCTACCCCAGGCACACGGGGAGAAAGCCAGAGTGGGAGAGGATCTCAGCAATGGGTTAGCTTCACCTCTGCTCCAGCGACCTAGTGTTCATGGCTGCCCAGGGCCCTCCCCCTGTACCAGGTTGGCCAACGTCGCAGTGGCCTTAACAAGCCTCTCATCTGCCCGGTGGCATGGCCAGGCTGTCAGTGGTTAAGCCCCGACCTCCCAGAGTGCCAGCAGAATTTGAATTCGATCTTCCTCAAAGGTCTCACCACCGCCCCCAAAGAGCCCCACTTTTTCTCCCTATATCTTCATTCAAGATATAGTATCTTGATCCAGCCCAAAGGCCAAAGGCCCCAATTGGAGAGGTGTGCTTGAGCCCCTCATCAGCTTACCCTGTTCTAAACTGCCACCCAGCTTCCGTGGCTGACCTGCTACCACATTAAATGCAATATATGGTGATGAGCTTTTTTTTATATATTTTTTTTATTATAGCTTTTAAAATAAAATTTACCATTAGTTTAGTACTGGTACATATACTCACATTGTCATGCAACCACTCTGCAGAACTTTTTCATCTTGTGAAACTAAAAGTCTATACCTATTAAATAGCAACTCCCCACTTCCCCACCCCCAGCACCCGGCAGCCACTGCTCTACTTCCTGTCTCTATAATTTTGACTATTCTAAGTCCTTCATATAAGTGGACTTGCACAGTATTTGTCTGTTAGTGACTGGCTTATGTCACATAGCATAATGTCCTAAAAATGTATCTATGTGGTAATATGCGTCAGCATTTCCTTCCTTTCTTAAGACTGAATAATGCTCCATTGTATGTATATCCTACGTTTTCTTTATTCATTTATCATCAATGGACACTTGGGTTGCTTTCAGCTCCTGGTTATTGTGAACAAAGGTGCTGTGAACACGGGTGTGAAAATATGGGGTGACAGGCTTTTGAAGGTGGCGTTGTACCGTTGCAATGATGTGCGCATGAATCCACTGGGGGACCTTCTCAAAATGCAGATTCCACCTCAGGAAGTCTGGGGTGAGGCCCTGGACATGGCATTTCTGCCCAGTGGCCCTAATTCCCGTCCCAAAGACCACACTTTCAGCAGCACCGCTGCTGACCCTCAACCGGGGCCTCTGCCCTGAGTCCAAAGCCCAGCTCTGACCCTCACTGGCTTTGGAAATAGTCATGTTTCTTTACCCCCTTGTCCTGTTTCCTGTCCGTAGTGGGGGAATAAATAGTATCTCGTCAGTTGGTTGGGAGGATTAAACGTTCTCACACATGTATGCCTCAGTACAGTGACCGGCGCGGAGCAAGTACTTCAGATCCGGTAGCTATTTTCATTCTTCTGGTACAAACGCACCGTGTTAATTAGTACACTGGTGCGAGGAGACATTCCAGGACCCTTGCTGGGACAATTATTTAACATGGAAGCAAAGTCTTAAATCTGGGATTGCAGGTCAAGGCAAAGGGGAGTGAGTGACAGGGCCTTGATGAATTGGGGTGAGACCTGGCCACAGCGGGAACTTTGAGGGCCACCTTGTCCTCGGGTTCCATGGGAATTTTCTTTTCTGCACATAAAATGTCACGTCTTATTCCTGACGGACTGTCCACGCCCTCTTCAGGCCGCTGCCCCCCTCTGTGGCTATTTGTAAAGTCATCATGTCCAACAGGTGGGGCGCTTCCTGGAACCGGTGACCTTGTGTCTTCCGGCCGAAGCTTGGCCCTCAGGAAATTCACTCTGGACAGAGCTGGCCATTGTCGCTCAGACACTCCTCTGGGTACTTGCACGTGGGCAAGCCGGCGGAGGCCCGGCGGACGCTCTGTTATGTTGTCTACAGTAAATATTTAGCTCCGCACTGGGAGCCTCTAGCAGGATCTATGTTCCCTCCTGAGTTCTGGTCAGCACCCGAAGTTCAAGAAAAAAAGGCAAGTTCTGGAGTCTAAGAGTTCCTAGAACTAGGGTGGCAGGGGGACTCAGGAGGGCGAAGCTGTCCTCCCAGGAGCCCCAGGCCAGCTGGACACACGGGCACACGCCGCTGCTGGAGACGGTTCACAACGTAAGGAGCTGGGGCTCAGAGGGACTGCACAGCTTTTCCGGTCAGGAAGACGTGTGGGATTCGGTTCTTTTTATCCTCACCCGAGGATATTTCTTCATTTATCATCAGATAGAGTGGGAGGAAGGGAAAGAGAGGGAGAGCAAGAGAAACATCGATGTGAGAGGGACACATCGACTGGCTGCCTCCCGCACGATCCCACCAGGGCCGAGGATGAACCGCAGCGGAGGTACATGCCCTTGACCAGAATTGAACCTGGGACTCACTGGTCCACTGGCCGATGCTCCAACCGCTGAGCCAGACTGGCCAGGGCGGGATTCGGTTCTTGGTGTGACTCCAGCATCTGCCTCACTGAAGTCCAGGCCCCATGGCTTGGCTGCCAGTTCTTTGCTCCTTCTCCCATCTGGGAGACCCAGGGGCGTCGCCGCCACCACCACACACCCCTGGGGAACTCCTCAGAGCTGTTACTGCCTTCAGTAGTCTTCCCTCCGTTTTCCCCGGTGATTGCAGGCCTCCAAATAAAAGGCAGGTTATTCTCCCAGAAAGCTGGGAGTCCTCATGAGCGACAGAGAGGCAGCAGGGGACAGCTGAGGAGGCAGCACTTTGCAGAGATGTCCCCTGGAAGTTCCAGATGATCACCACAGAGATTCAGGAAATAGCTAGGAAGCAGCGTGTCTCGGAAGCTGGCCTCACATTAAGGGATGTGATGGTGAAAAGGTCGTTTTCTTCACACACACACACACACACCCGCCACACCCTCCCACACCTGCTAAATCAGACTGTGGGGGCAGAGGTTAAGTTACCCTATGCTCACGAAGATTTCACATACTTTGCACAAGACAATGGAAATGTATCGTAAGTTGGGCGTACAACCGCCAACAGGAATTCCTGCATTCTTTAGCCCGGCTGGGAAATGGAGAAAATAAAATCTCCACCTGGGAGAGCTGACCGAAAGGTGACCGCCAGTGGCCACCTTGGTCACCTTCTCCCGGGCTGAGTCCCCCAACCGCAGCCCAGGAAGAGTGGCCAGAGAAAGCTTCCAATGGCTCCCCACCCCCACCCCCAGGCCCCAGGGAGGATGGAGGCAGGAATGTAGAGGAAGACCCTTCCCCTCCGCCTGGGCACAAAGCCAGAGCAGCTCCAGGGGAAGCCGGGCAGGAACCAGCCCTGGGTGTTGACTCTGCTTCTTCTCGGTTTGGTTCCTGCATATTCCAGTACAGCTGAAATAACCTCACTGCAAAAGACGTAGCAACTGGGCTTTTGGAATTCCAGTCGTCATCCATCACTGCGCTGTTCATTCTTCAAGGACGTTTATGAGCCGTCAGATACGGTTTCTCCCCAGTTCCTCTGGACGTTAATACTAGTCATGGAAAAGAAGGAGGGGGTAGGAAGAGGCAATAGGGAAAGAAAGAGAAAAAGTGCAAGATAGAGAGAGACTGGGTCCCTGAGACAAACCCACAGTTTCCTGGGGTATCTTTCTGATTAAATGATGCAATGCTTGTGTGGACAGCTGCAGACTTTGGAGCCAGGCTAAATGGGTTCAAATCCTGGCTCTGTTATTTAAAGGCTGTGTGACCTTCAGCAAGTTATTTGACCTCTCTGTGCCTGTGTTTTCTCATCAGTGAGATGTGGATAATAGCAGTATCTGCATTTTAGATTGTCGGGGGAATTAAATAAGTTAGCACACATCAAGTACTTAACAGTGTCTGGCACAGGATGTGGAATACATCTTAGGGATTATTATTTTTGTTATCATTATGATGTGAGATCCCTAGAAAATAATCGTAGACAAGACAGCAGAATGAGCTTTGCCTCAGGTGAGGTTCACAGGTGTGCAGAGTTCCTGGTAAAGGACACAGCTCTGTGGGCAGGAGTTATCCGGGGAGACTTCATAAAGGTGGGGCTCTTCTATTGAGTCTTGAAGGGAGTTTGGACTGGGAAGTACGTCATAGGAAAACCCACCTGGAGGCAGGGATGATCTAGGAGACATGTTTCAGATCAAGGTGTGCTTACCAGCTGTGGAGCTGGCAGTGATCCCGACAGCAAAGCCAGTCAACATCAGTCCTTAAACAAGAAGCCACATGATGACCAGAGATGAGCTTTATAGAGAAGCTAGCTGCAAGAGGCAGTGTGCAGAAAGAAGGGACCATGTGAATGGTGCCCCCAGAACAATGTGAAGCCCTGTTCCAGAATAACACTTACTATGTTCAGAGCTTTACATTTATTAAGCATTTGATAACCTCCCGAGGCAAGCTGTTTTTTGCCCTATATTATAGGTGAGTACTGAGGCACAGAGAGGTGAAGTACCTTGCCCAAGATCACACAGCCATCTTATGGTAGGGTTCAGATTTGAATTCAATGTCTGCAGAGTCCTTGTTACTAACTATTATACATATACTATAACTAACATTTATTAAGAGTTTACTATGTACCACATTGCAGTTCGCTTAATTCTCATAACAATTCTATTAAGGCCGGTACCATTATGATTCCATTTACAAAAAAGAAAGCTGAGCCCTGGCCAGTTTGGCTCAGCGGTTAGAGCGTCCGCCTGCGGTCCGGAGAGACCCGGGTTCGGTTCCCGCTAAGGGCATGTACCTCGGTTGCAGTTTGTCCCCGGCCCTGGTTGGTCGTGCGGTGGCAGCCACTCGATGTGTCCCTTGCACATCGATGTTTCTCTCTCTCTCTCTCTTCCTATCTCTCCCTCCCACTCTATCTGTACAAAAAATGGAAAAACGTCCTCGGGTGAGGATAAAAAATAATAATAATAATAATAAAAATAAAAGAAAGCTGAGGCTGAGAGGCTAAATCAATTCCTCAAGGTCACATACCTAGCAAGTGGCACAGCCTTGACCCGGGCAGTCTGACTCTAGAGCAGGCTGTCATGGCCCGGGCCACAGAAAGCAACCATTGGGAGAGAAAGGACCAGGGAAGGAGAAAATCGTTTCTGAGCGTGGACAATCTAAATGGCCCCAGTGCCGCAGAAATACTGGTGTGGGGACAGTGCCGAGAAGAGCTTGTGAGACTTGTTGAAAAGGTCGCCGGAATGAGTCAGGGATCCAGTCTTAAGCAGAGAGCATAAGTTGAGAACAACGTGCTTTATACTTCTTGACAGGACTCCAACTGCAGGAATTCTGAGAAACTCAGATTTGCTGATTTCTTCCGCCCCTGGATCTAGAGACTGGTCTATAAAACGTGAATTCCCAGATCACAGAACAGAGCCCACTCGGTGCCCTTTCCCCCACCACTGACTGGCTGTTTGCCCGGCACCCACTGGGCACAAGGAGCTGACCCCGAATTTGCAGCCCTAAACTCAGCTCTAACATTTTGGGGCGTGTGAGCAGAAAACCGCAGTGGAAAAACGTTTCCACCACTAACTGACCATTTGCTAAAATGTTCTTTCAGACTCTCCGTGAACAGGAACTGGCGGGGGAGGAGCCACCAAGGCAAAAACGAGCGGGTATGTAAATGTTTCGCTTGGCATTCACTTCCAGTGCGTCCGATCCAATGGCATTTGCTCTAGCATTTCACAACCCTGTGGGCCGCAGGATTCCGTCTCAATATCGAGAGGCAATTACAAAGGAGCTCCACTCGCTACTCTGTCAAAGGGCATTAAACACACCGGAGCCCGTTTCACCCTCTTTCCTCCCCCCTTGCCTGGGCCTGTCCCCTCAGCGGTCCTCCACTCAACCCAGCAGCCTTTCCTTTGCCTTTTTAATTTTTTTTTTTTTTTTTTTTTACCTTTTCTGTTCTCACTTATTACTTTCTTTTGTGGATCAACTTAACCACTAGACTCAAGTCCTCCTCTAAATCCCACTCTAAGTTTCCCATTAAATTTTTAAGAACGGTCTGGAAAATATAGGGCTCACGTGTACAATGTTCCTTGGTGCCCCGTCCCATGTGCAGGACCTGGGAAGGCTGGTTTTTCCCAGGACCAGATTCTCTTACTTCCTTCCCTCATAAAAATCTTTCAAAAGCATCAATCGGATGCTTTATTTCCCTGCATAAAGTTCTTCCTGGGCTCCTAATGGCCTTGAAGATAAAATCTCATCACCTGCTTGAGTCTTACTGGATGGACCCTCCATGCTTTGCCCATGTTCTACTTCTGTTCCCTTTCACACAGTCTGTGCCCGCCCACCATCCCCCTTTGCTTGTCTAAGGGATTCTGACTTCAGTCTCAGTTCACAGGGGCTCCTGCCACGTAAGGTCTTCCACTGAATCCCCAGACAGGGTGGGGCTGCTTTACTGGGTTCCCATTGCCCTTGATACATTCCCATAGCACAACAGTGTCCCAATGCATTGTAATTATTTTGCTTCCTGTTTGTCATCCCCGATAGACATGAGCTCCCTTGAACTCTCTTCCCCTCTGTAGCCTGGCTTCCAGCCCAGCCTCTCAATAAATGAGTGCACACGTGATGAGAGTGTATGTCTCTGTCACAGCTGCCCCTTGGTGAGTTCAGAGGCTACATTCCTGTTGTTGAGAGTCTGCTGGCCCCGTGGCTATACCAACTGTGGAGAAGGTGAAACTTCTCACCTATAGCTTTGTGAATGGATCATTTCCAGGCATGCTGTGACCTGGTCCACTCAGTCTTGTGGTCTGAAAGAGACGCTGGGCTGCCCAAGAGAGTGGGCTGGTCCTGAGGTCAGGGTAGAGGTACCTGTTTGAGCCCCTCCCAGCACCGCAACCAGACCTCACTGCTGTGAAATGAGACCTTGACCACACTTTCTCAAAATCCTCAGTGGAAGGTCATGTCACTGATCATGTTCTTCCCTTCCTTTTCTTTCCTTCTTTTCCTTTCTCATCTCTTTTTGCTTCTGTCTGAGCCTTGTTTTCTGCCCCTATGGGACCCTCACTCTCCTTTGCACAGATGACACTCTCTGAGCTTTAAAGGCAGCATCACTATAAACCACAGAACTTATATGCCTGTATGTGTGACCAATGGACACAGACAACAACGCTGGGGACTGGGTGGGGATGGGGGATGGGGAGGAGGGTGTCAATGGGGGAAAAAGGAGAAACATCTGTAACAAAAATTAGTTAATAAAAAAATTAAAAAATAAATTAAAATAAAAAGCATCATTATATCCACCTCACCCCTTTCCTGCTCCCCGTGACAGGAATAGGGCCAGAGCGGTCCCCATGCAGCATTTTGAAAGATTTTTCTTTTGAAAATCAAACTATGGGAGAGTGAGTCCTAGCCCCAGGTTTTGGCCGCTTCCTCCGGGCAGCGGTGACCCAGCCGCTGTAAAAGTGACATCTTCCTGTGCTTGGGAGCCGGGCTGTTTATGACCCGTGGCAACAGCACCGGAGGTTGGCCCTTGGGAGGAAATCACTTCTACATGTAAGGATTTGACATTCCAAAATTTTTCCAGACGTGCTCTCATTAAAAACAATCATGACGGTGATGGATACGTGAAAGCCTCTTCCCCCTTTACAACGTGTGGTCCTCCAGGCCCTTCCGCCGCCAGAGCCCTCGGGATGTTAATCACTCAACTCGCCATCTGCAAAAGATGGATGGGCCTCGGTACTTTTACTAAATGACCGAAGTAAGAGATGGCCACGGACAGCCCGGGGCACGAGGCTGAAGATTCTCGGAGTGGGAGCTCTCATTACAGTGGGAGCATCGTTACAGTGTAGCCAAGCGCCGCTGCCCCGGAGAACCGGGAGAACCCGGAGGAAGCAGTGGGGGGCCGCGCGAGGGTCTGTTCTGCTGGGTGTGTGACGTCAGCGGGGTGACAGCGCTGGCCTCCGGTTTTCAGAGTGGTGTCTCACTCACCTGCACACGCAGCTCCCTTTCTGGAGACTTAATGCCAGAAAAGCAAATAATGGTTCCAAGAGAAAGATACGTTTCAAAAGGATTTTCTTTTGAGACACTGGACTAATTTTTGGGGGTTGGGGATAGAATTGTCTTTAAAGGTAGGATCAGTACTCTTATCTGTTCTCAGAACACTATGGACTTCTTCCGAAGTCACCATGCCAGGTATATAGTTTCTTGGGCCTTTGATATATCTTTATATCTATCTATCTTTATATCTATCTATCCACACATAACCACATCTATACATATAAGTATATATGTATATCAAATAATGTGTTATATATAGTGCATATTTGTATCACATATATACCACACTCACACATATGTTATTACATTATAGGGTTGTAGGGAGGATTACATAATATTGTGTACACATTACTTTTAAAAATGTAAATGGGGCTATCTGGGGTGTATTTTTTAAAATAATTTTTTTTGTTAAAAACAAAATCAGCCTGGGCCAGTTTGGCTCAGTGGTTTGAGTGTCAGCCTGCGGACCAGAGAGTTCTGGGTTCGGTTCCCGCTAGGGGCACGTACCAAAAAAAAAAAAAATTAAAAAAAAAAAAGAAAAGTCAATTGATTTATTTGTAAAAAGTGCTACTGTACTTGAGAGACCCTAAAACATCCCTGGGACAGAGAAGATCCCAGGTAACTCCTGGAAGCAGGGGGATGGATGCCGTGATCAGGGAGCCAGCATTCTGGGGGAGAGAAGCCTGCACAGAAGCCCAGAGGCCAGAGGCTAGAGGTGGGAATACGAGTAGAGTCCGTGTGGCTGCTGGGGGCCAGGGAAGTGAACGGGTGGAAGCACCCAGAATTGTCCTGATGACCCCAGGAAGTCAGTGCTACACTGGCTGAGAGGCTGGCACAGAGACGGGACTGAGGGAGACCAAGTGAAAGTCAGCGCTGGTTTGACTGAATCAGATGAAGAGGCTGGTGCCGGGAGACCAGCGAGGGGCTCAGCAGTGAGGACTGCCATTGGCTCCGGGCCCTGGGGTGAGACCAGGAGGTGCAGAGGGACACTTGTGAACGGCATTTTGACGACTGAATCAAAAGGACCTGGACTCCCTGACCAGTTTGGCTCAGCGGTTAGAGCATTGGCTCACGGACCAAAGAGTCTCGGGTTCGATTCCAGTCATGGGCATGTACCTCGGTTGCGGTTCATCCTCGGCCCTGGTTGGGGTCGTGTGGGAGACAACCAGACAATGTGTCTCTTTCACATCAATGTTTCTCTCTCTCTCCCTCTATTCCTCCCACTCTACCTGAAGATAAATAGAAAAATATCCTTGGGTGAGGATTAAAAAAAAAGGATCTAGAGACAAAGTTGACTGGTGGGGGGTGAGGGTGAGCAATGGTCCATGTGACACTCCAGGCCTGCATGAACCTGGGTGGCTGGGGATATGGAGGCCATAGGTAGGACACTACGGTTGTAATGAAAATCTTATTTTAGAGCTTTGCCAATCAGCTTGAAAATTTTTGTTTTTTTATCCTCACCCGAGGACATTTTTGCATTTATCTTCAGATAGAGCAGGAGGGAAGAGAGAGAGAGAGAAACATTGATGTGAGAGAGACACATCGAGTGGTTGCCACCCACACGACCCCAACCAGGGCCAGGAACGAACTGCAACCGAGGTACGTGCCTTAACAGGGACCAAACCTGGGACTCTCTGGTCCGCAGACCGACGCTCTAACCACTGAGCCAAACCGGCCAGGGCTGAAATTTAGTCTTAAGGGTAATCTTCAGAGGGGACTGAAAGTCAAAGTTACCGGTGAGAAGTCACACGAATATGTCCCCTGAGGCCATTTGTGAAGTTGTCCACACCAGGTTTCTAAGCTTGATTGGGAACATGTCTTCGGCCCTGGACTGAAGAGTCCCCATTGGGTTTTCTTTATCTTCCAAAGAAATGATCGATACGAGGTAGCATTTCAAAACAGGAGATCGAGATCCAGGATGTGCTCACCCTGCGTGGCAGGTGCTTCCATGTTGACACCTATTTAGTGAGAGCCAGGCTCCTGCCAGGTTGGGTTGCTGGCTGAAGTCCCACCCTGTCTGCAGCCCTGGCAGTGTGCCGGCCTTTCTGACCTGGTCCAGGAAACGCTGTACATTTTCCAGGTTGAGAAACAGAGTTGAGCGTTTACATGGCTTTAATCTTTCTTGTGATAATATGTGACATTTAGTGCTCTGAGCAAGCCGTGGTGGGGGCCGAGAAAAATGAGAAGGCTGGATGCTCTTAGCCTGGGGTTTGAGTTTGGTTCCAGGGTTGACCTTTAACACTGGGAGTGTTGTTTTCTTTTAATTTCTGATTAGTGCTGTTTGTTTGTTTAACACTCTCCAAGGTGAGGCTCAACTGAAATGGCATTCGTTTTGCTTGACCTACCAGCAAACATCAGAAACAATATAACCATTGCATTTTTAAGAAATCCTCACCCAAGGCTATGCTTTAGCGATTTGAGAGAGAGGGGATGAGAGAGAGAGACAGAGAAAGACGGGGGGGGGGGGGGGGAAGAGAAAGAAAAACATCAGTGTATGAGAGAAACATCAATCAGTTTCCTCCCATACGTACTCCCCACTGGGGATTGTACCACAACCCTGACCGGGACTCGAACCAGCAACCTTTTGGTGCACAGAACGATGCTCCAACACTGG